AATTGTTTCTTTCTACAGATTGTTTTGATAAGCTCAAAAAAGCAAATGAAAAAAAAAGCATTATAATAATGAAAACTGTTTGTCAGTTTTATGGTTAAACAAATCCTGTAAAATTTTAAAACAAAAATTTCAATTCTCCTAAGGTTGTGGCCATAGCTTTACCGATTGCACAGCTAAATGATGCAAAATCTCAGAATATGCAACTGTTCACCAGCGAAGATGACACTCACAAGAGTGATTTTGACGATCGTACCGGTAACGCAGTCAAGTCAAACCATAATGTCAATATCAACTCCGGTCAATCAGTTGACAAAAATGCTATTCTTGAGCAAGGGTAAGTTATCCAGTTTAAGCAAATAATGTCGTTTTGTTCAGCTTACAGCCATTGATTTTTTGCAGAAGCTGTTGATCGTAAACGAGTTCTAATTTTTTGGTATATTCAACTGGTAATGCTGACTTTTTTTACATTTGCTCTTCTCCAAATAATTTTTATATAAGAAAAAAAGCAGCAGGAAAAACTGTGAGCAATAAACGGATAAAAATAAACTAAAAAACTAATGAAAATACATTAATCTAATACACGTGAAGATTTTACTTTAGGAATGGTTAGTTAATTTATCAACACAATTAAAACATCAAAAAGATAACGTTAACTTAGACAAAGCAGAAAACACCATTTAAATGAAGCAATCGCTTTACAATTTCCTTAGAAATCACAGATTTTTTTCTTTCAACTTTTAAGACATATTAATAGAAATTTCATCAATAACAGAAGAAGGAAAAGTAAGAAGTCGAACAAATAAACAGTTGTTTATTTTTTTCAATTGGAATTTATAAGAGATATATACAAATTTAGTGAAACTCGTCATTTCCTTCAGTTTCTTCATTCAATCAAATACGACCATCGACAGTGTCCTGAAAATTCTGATAAAGGTATTTGTTAACTTTGCCATGTTTTTTATGTCACTTTGTTACACACATTTTATTTTTTATACAATTTTATTTTTGTTATTTCAAGGCCCTGTTGACGTTATCATTTCTATTGTGGTTACCAACATTCGTGCTGTATCCGAAGTTACTATGGTAAGTTACATAATTGTACTGATTGCATATTTGTCTTTTCTTTAGCAGTCGGAAATAGAAGAAACTGTAAGCTAAGCTAGTAATAAACTTACACTTTTTAGTGTGCATTACTGCTATCGTACTTTTTCAATGTGAAAAATCTGTCAAGAAACAAAAAAAATTGTAAAAGTTTTTTCTTAAT